AGGACAAATAAACAGAAAGTGTCTTAAAGTTTCTTCTTGATTAATGTTACAAAGTGTCATTAGTTTCTTCAGTAGATACTGTTATCCAAATGCAACGTTTTTCGAGGGAAGTTTAAATTTCAGGGATACTCGTTCAAAATCTAATTTATCTAATAATTATTTTTCTATTTTTATTGTGGCCCTAAATAGAACAAAATCTGTGAGAGATGTCTTACTAGCTACATTCACTTTCCATTCATTATTAAATATTTCTTTTATTTTATGAATTACAGGATTAACCCAATACTGTATGTATCGTCACAATTGTTAAGCAGGTATTCTAGTAGGTCTTCAGATTCACATATTACAAATATCATAAATATATTTAATAAATTTGAAACGAAAACCTTCAGGATCACAATCAAAAAGATTATTTGCATTGAGAAGTATTTTTGGCCAGCGATATGATTCCATTTTAATGCCTGTCTTGCGAAAAGATTTTGGAAGTGACTGATGGGAATCGAACCCACAAACCCAACTAGCCTGGTGTCCCCATACCACCGAGCATGCGCTAGTGACTCAGTGGTGTTGAATCCGAATAGCAGCGGGTCCCTGCATGCTCAGTATTTCGAAGGTCTGGAAGTGATCGTTGCCTTTGATTCCCATAATCACTTGCGAATTTTGTGATAAAATTTTGAGAATATGGACCTCTCTAGGTGCCCGGAATTTGCAATCTCATACCGTACCTTACAATTCTTACCGGTAATTCATGCAACAATACAATTATTTCTTAACAATTTAGTGGGACCGGGTGCGATCACGCCGTCTGCACCCAGGCCTCTGCATCCGCCCAAGCGTATCTCGCTGTTAAACTGATTGGATGAAATTTAGTATCCTAAGTTTGAATTCCTCGCCAATTTACTATCCCCGATATTCATAGTTTGACACACTCTTTAATTCAATAACTTTACATTGGATTGTAAGGGATATAGAAGTCTTCTTTTTTTTTCTCAAAAGAAAGACATCTCTTTTTATTTACATTTATTTCTAAAATATTTTGGTCACACTCCACTCTATAGTTGCTCAACTACATGTGAGAATCGTAGGCCACTTTTGAGTTTGTTTCATACTACTAATCTATAATATCAAATCTGTCCAATTTTGCTGTCAGGGAGCGATCCACTAGGGGGACCCGAGGAGATTCCCCTCTGCTGTTCTACCCATTATACCAGTGGCGCCGTAGCGTCGGAAGTGGGCCATTAGGGTGGTGGGGAAATATTGTTTCCCATAGCAGACCGGAGATTAGGCCTATAACACATTACTGGGTAACGCTTTTATCCATGTGTATCCATGTGCTTGTTATTTTTATTTAAATGCTCAGTAGGCCTACGTATAATTTACAAATTTAGGCCTAATAAAAAATGTGTTAAAAACGGGGTTAAAAATGCATTATTTTTAAGTGGCTAGTGGTCTAATGACAGCAATTAATTATGTTGGCCAATCTTACAATGTTCATTTTTCAGGCAAAACGGCTGGGGACTTCCCCAACCCCCCACCCACGGAGATTACTACACTACTATACAGACACAATTCGTTCTAATAAAAGCATAAATCCGTAAAAGCACGTGGAACTACCAGAGCGCCCTCATAAAACATGTTTTATGCATATTCATGAGGACTGGTCACGTGCCGGCGAAAGATGAAAACAATCAAAGTAAGCCACCATGGCAACATCGCGCTTCAATAGCATGCAGTCAGTGGAGTTGAAGTAAGGTTTTCGTGAACGAAGGACAGAAGTTTGTCTCTAAAGTTACACATGAGTGGAAATAAAACTTTATAAACACGGTTTTAACCACCGACGTACAATTTAGATTTAAAACGGCTTCGTCAGCTCGTGATACATTTAAAATGCCTGAAGTTATGCAAGAACTAGTGTCAGATGTGAAGAAAAATAAATTGTCTGCGATACCAAAACTCACGGACGATGGTAAATTTTCGTTGGGATCCGAGCGATTGTTTACTCTAAAATGAAAACATAGTAACTAGGCCTAGCCTAACCTAGGCCTAGTGCTAGGGATTATAATTTCATCCATCCATGTTAACTTCCTGCTTTTTTAGTTACTGTAGTTCGTATAATACTATGTAGGCCTAATAATTGGTCATTATTTTCTTTCTTTATAGATGTGGTCAGTGTTTGGGAGAACGTTTCAAATTTTATTGAACACAATATGTCGATGCAAAAGGTGAGAGGGAAAAGAAGTGAAAATCTAGGCTAGGGCCTACTACAGGAGCTCTGGAAGAGTGCCTAAACTTAGACCTGTCTAGGCCTATATTTATAAGTAGGTCTAGGCCTAGGTAGTGTATGAACTAGCCTAGTCGTAGCTGGCTTGCCATGTCTGTAGAAAGCACACAGGCTAGGGCTTTTCCTTGTTGACATATAAGAACTGAAATTATATAGCCTAGGCTAGGCCTATATATCGAAATAACGAATATAATTTCAGTCTAATATTAGTGCAAAATATCGTTAGGCCTTTGGAATTACTGGACAACGCGCGATTATCATGTCAACTAACATGCACATGGTAATTCGTCACACGCTGAAGGTTAATTATGGTTTGGTTGCTATGGTTTTTGTGACAATCAGAGTGTGGCACGTAGAATGTCGATGCTAGAGTTATATCCTTTGGTGTCCCGAGATGTGTATCCTTTTGTGGAATTGCCTTGGTTGTAATAACCATCATTCTTAGGGCTATAGTAGAGCCTGACACTTTGAAAGTCAGTAGATTTTGATGATCAAGCATGGAAAATGACCAAATTGGAAGTTAGAAAATCCCTGTGCAAACAGAAAACTGGATAGAAGAAGAAAAGAATAAAAAAAAAAAAACAATGGCTTTTCCACTGTTGCTGGAAAAGTTTCTTGCCTGGCCGCATCGCCAAGTCACTAGCCTCCAATCTATTAACCACATGTTTTCATTTTCAGGGTGTTCAAATTCATGGACTTGGAACATTTACATTTAGTCAGAAAAAATTAGACATCGGAAACAACAAATTCATTCTGATCCAGAGACCAGTTTTTCTGCTCGCAGAGAAGTTTGCTCAAACACATGGACTAAACTATGCCAAACACTATACATCTGGTAAGATTAGATTATGTTACTGTTTTCATCAATCTAATTTAGTTCATTTTTTATCACCACTAAATAATGGAGAGAATATTCACATGTTGTTTGGTGCTAGGCCTTGTTATTTTTGTGATTTTAATGGGAGGAAGTTTCTCATCTGAAATAAAAGTTAAATTGAATTGAAATTGAATTGAATAAAACAATTTGAATTGGGTTGATGAGCATAATCCCTGGCTCTTCGGGGAGGAAAACGCAAATCATTGGAGAAGAAAACAATTCTATGTAATTTTTTTGGAATTTGATATTCTAAAATCGATTAAATATGCCATCTAAATCCCTAAAGTGTCAGAGTGTCCGGTGGCCTTGACCTCTGCAGGACCTCCTATGAGGGGTTGAGGGCTTCTCCTGGTTTGGTCACTTATGCTCCTGTGAGGGAAATCAGCCTTTGTGTCATGAACATACAGCCACTTGATGTCTTAAGCTGAATCCAAAGGAGAAAATCATAAATGATGATGACTATATCTAATATTCAAATAATAATATGTTAATGATAAAAAGATGTGTTAACCATTTTAAAGGATTAAAGGTGCAGCTAACAAGAACATTATTGTTATCAATCAACTAAAAGTTATTATTATTTTAATTAAAATTATTATTGTAGACTTCGATATTTGTATATACTATTATAATTCATCTGTAATTTAATCATGCTATCATAAAGAGTTCTCGTCCTACAACCTATTATATCGAACCAAATTTTATTAAAAGATTAAAAAGAAAAACAAAATCAAATTTTGTTAATTTATCATTACTTATGGCCATGAAGAAAGATAAACTGAGTTTATAATTATAAGCATACTGTGTAGGCACGATTTATACTTTAGCATTAGCAATGCTATCAATTTCTTTTATTTAGTTCTACAATCACCTGCATTCACGTTGATATTTCCTGTTCAAAAGATGTTTTCTTCCTGAATTTATCATATTGATGGGTTTACTGATCCTGGGCTATTATGCATGATCATTTTTTGAGTCTTAACCACCTGCTTTTAACACAATGTGTCACAACACCATTGATTGTTTGAATAAAAAAATAATTCTAAGAACAGTGAAAGCTACCAAACTGACCAACGGAGCTTATAACTAAAAATAGATATTACAAGATTTTGGTAATGAGCAAAAGTTCTTAAGAAGTTTAATTTGCCTGAATGCATTAAGATGATATGTAGGAGGTTGTCAATGTTTTTTTTGTTTTTTTTTTGCATTATTGCTATTATTCTACTATTATTTATATCTTATGGACCCCTAGTGAGAATATATTTAGAATTTTAATTTCTTCAGGCAAACACTCTGGTGCATATTTTGTTGATAGCATGTTTGTCAGGCCAGTAGGTTATCGACTGACAACCTACGGTCGTTAGGAAGCAGTGAGTGTTTGTTTACATGGACATTGTTGCGCCACCTAGTTGCTTACAAACATACATATTTAAGTAGTAGATGACAGAGTTAGAAACAGCATATCTCCCTTTAAAATCCATACAGAAAAAACTCAAATGGATCCAGTAAAAGTGAAGCACAGTCCCCAAAAACCTGATCTGTACCCACTTTATTATAATCCTTGTAAAACCTTTAAATGTAGTGTCCTTTTCGTCCACACACTAGCAACACTCTAGTACTACCAAGGTAGGATGTTAACATATTTTACAAGCCCAGCTGGATAACTACAGTATGATATTCACCAAAAATTGGTGGTCAACAGCTCTTAAAAATAGATGGTAGTCAAGTGTGTTTCTTGGCATAGGTTTTGGCTTCGGGTGCAAAATTGAGAATGCTGAACTAAACCTATCTTGAAATATATCCCTATCCCTAATAATAACTTAATTTTCATTTAAAAAAATTATAACCCATTTAATGAAACTAATTTGGTACCTTGGTGGTAGGAAGGGTAGTTTGTGGGGTGGGGTGGGGGAGAGGGGGAGGTTTTAAGTGTTGAAATGAAATTTATTAAAGAATACTAAATCATTCATACAAATCCTAATAGTCATAATGCTCAGAAAGTCAAAACTTTAATAACAATTACTGACTTTGAATAATTCCTCTACATTTTGCAGGATCACACAAGGCACTGATAATAGTTTTGCCCCTCAAGATGAGGGGAAAGCTTCACAGAAACCATTGATGGATGCCATCAGAGAAGATGAGGAACAGGATGAATTACAGGAAGACATGGAAGAGTTTATGGATTTAGAACAAGATGAATGTAAGTACCGAAAGGTCCACTGATTAATCTCAGATAAGACAGTATAATGGTTAATAATGGTTGTTTAGATATGTATGGACCATTATAGCTACACAAAAATAAAGAGTTATAATTAATGACGTTTCAACTGTCATATACATATAAATGTGGGCTTATGTGGGAATGTAACTTTTAAGTAGCATGTACATATCATAAACTTGAATATTATTGTTAATCATTTTACTTTTTACTGTCATTGCAGATGTAGAGAAAAAGTATGCTAGCCCTGGTCGTGTCTCATCCAGACAAGTGGCACCAACAGCCATGGCCACTGGGATCAGTCTAGCTGCTGAGGATCTCACACCTGTTACACCTCTAAGAGGTATCAAAGGTAGCCATGTAACACCATCACCACCCACAAGCAAGCCAGCCTCACCCTGTGGCGAGCTTCCTCCACCCAGATCACCTAAGGGCTTAGCACGTCAAACAACGTTTGCTGAGGGTCTAAATGATGTGCGTGAAATCTCTCCAGTCTACTGCAGTCATGACAATGCAGGCCAGGAACTCTGTTATTTGTGTCATCAGAGAGCTGTTCGTAACATACCTGTGAATTTTGACGCAGAAAGACGACGAAAGGAACAGGAACAAGATCGTCTCTTACAACAGTATCAGCATATGAAGGATACAGAAGCCATTATTGTAGAACAAGTATGACTCTTTTTTATTGTCATGTTTTTTTTCGTCTATAAATATACAGTTATGTTAGACATTATTCATGTTTTCCAGTATATAAAATAAGATCAAGATTTTAGATGCATTTATTGCTCACCATTAAAAAATACAAATTTTTCTCTTTTAGCTGATAACTTAGGGGTCGTCAACATTATCAACATTTTCACAAGTGTGCAAACAGTGCGCTGGGGGTGGGGGTAGACAAATTTTATTGATTCAAAATAACATGCAATATGTAAAATAATGGTAAAATTATAATGTAACCATAGATAAAATATTAATTTTTAAGCAACCAAGTACACTGCTTTAGTTGACTTCACAAAAAAATGGAGAATGGTTTTGTAAAATTAACATTTTTTGTACACTTTCTACACATCTAGATGTGTATAAGAGACAGGGGAGGGAGGGAGGGGGTACCAAAAAAGAGTACTGTTTGTACACTTGTGAAAATGTTGATATTTGTGAATGACCCCTCACAGTTAGTCAAAAGTTTCACATCAAAAACTAACAATATTATACAAGACTTGAAAAATCATTCAGGTTAAATTAATTATTTGTTGTATATCTTTTGTTACTGAAATAATGTTGAATATGTTTTGAAAGAAAATATGTTATGGTTCTGAGTCCACTATGTGGTGACTTACATGTTAATTTAATTTATTTTTCCCAACTCACAAGGCGAAGAACATGTCTAACCGTCACCACAGCCAAAAGGTGGCGGCATTCAACCTTGGGGTTTCTGAAGCCATTAAGCAGAAGAGGAAAGAGCGCTCAAATGAATTCCATGTGAGTGATCAATATCAACATGCTTAAGTATTTTTAACAATCATTTATGTAGCTGTCCTCAAACTTGAGAACACTTCACTCTTGGCTCTCTTCACCTGGGAGTATAAATGGGTACCTGGTAGGAGGTGAATGATTTGGAATGAAATTGGTAGAGCTTATTTACACGCATAACTAGGAATACTCCGGGGGGAGGAGGCTCTTTCATGTTGTGTATAGTTCATTCTGTATCCAATGTCCAAGGAAAAAGCACCTTCGGCAGTTTCCTGGATATGTGCACTACATAAATCCTATTAAATAAATAAATATAATAATTATAATAATAATTGCTATTCTTTTTCGTCCACAGAGATCTTACATATTCAATCACAGATCCATCACACCGCCTTCCCACATCCAGTTTCCTGGATATGTGCACTACATAAATCCTATTAAATAAATAAATAAAGTAATTATAATAATAGTTGCTATTCTTTTTCGTCCACAGAGATCTTACATATTCAATCACAGATCCATCACACCGCCTTCCCACATCCGTCAGGAAGAGTATTCCGGATTTTTATCTGGACAAGTTGAGGCAAAGACAGCTGACAAAATGAGAAGAAAACATGACCAAGAATTCCTAGAAAGATTAGAACAAGTGCAGTTGGCTGAAGAGTGAGTTGTAGAGATTTCCATTTATTATTTATTTCACTTCAAGGTGCCATACAATCTAGAATTGCTACATGTTTCCCCAGATCTGATGACAGTGGATTATTTTCTGGCGTTGAATGCCATATTGATATTTAAAGTGTGATCTACCATTGATTGATGATGTAACCTGGTGTATCCATGACCAGTTACAGTCTTTGGAAGAGACAAGTAAGCTGTTGATCCCACCTGCAATATGCAATATGGATGTTAAAATTCCTCAAGTCGGCACTCACTGTTGCTGACGTTCGCCTGCCGACACGATTGTACAGAGAATGCAATGCCATGATGCATAGCGGATCGTTTTTAATGACGATCCATTGTTGCTGATCCATAATAAATAATCTATTGTTTCAAAATCCAAACGTATGTTATCCAAATCATTTAATACAACTACAAATCATGTAATAACAAACCAAATTATCCAACCAGAAATCAAATCATCTAATCAAAGCCCATACCACTCAATCTAAACATTTATGCGTAATTCGTACATACGTTTTTAACCTATCTAATCAAAAGTTTAGAGCTTGGACGTGAAGTGAAATGATCCACTATAAAGTTAAATGATTGCATGTAAAGTTAAATGATCCACTATAAAGTGAAACATGTGACTGTGATGTAAAATTATTTTAAGTCGAACAGTCGAATACAGTGAAATGATTCACTGGTAGAATTTAATAAATGACAGCGAAGTAAAATGTACCAGTGTAAAGTCAAACAAACAAAGGTAGATTCAGACAGTTTATTATGCTGTGTAGTCATTCGTTTTAAAGTGAAGTCATTTGTTCTAATTCCAAACATATGAGTAAACCTACAGCATTCACGTATTTGTCAAGTATGGAAAGTGTATATTTTAATAAGATAAACAAAACACACTTTATTATCTGAATTTCTGGATGTTAACAACATCACGGCCGGGCTGAAACGAATGGCATTTATACTAGCTAGGCCTAAGGTCCCTAGTAATAGTACTAGCTAGAGACTAAAGTAGACCTAGGCTAGCTAGGTTGTGACCCTAATGGTAAGTAGGCACAACCTTAGCTAGGCCTACTCCAGCTTTAGGTTAGTATGACGTAGCACTTTTGCCGTCCTGTTGTGAAATAATTATGAAACAATAGGCCTATCGGTTTTAGCATGTACCTCTAATGTAATCGTCAAAAACTCCTCGGATGATTAACTCTGCGTTCTTTTTCACTAACTCAGTTTTACCTGTCTGCACCGACCAAAAATTTGTCTTTGACCTTTTTTACACGAACCTAAGAGAAGATCAAGCCAAGCGTGCACTATATGAAAAAATATTGCACTGTTGGGGATAGGCAAATAACATTGACAGTTGCAGTGATGACATCACAATTGACTTATAATTTTATTTATAGGCCAAGATAGGCCAATTCTAGACGTATGCATGCGAGTCATTGACATTGAGAAAAAAGAAATAAGGTTGTCTTTGACATTTCCTTTAGCAAGTGTGTACGAACCCAGATATTTTTATTGTGTGCCTATGGCATTAATAGAATTCCATACTAGGACTGGAAATGTAGAGATACAGACACAAAAACTGTTAAAATTCAGACAAAAATGCCCCCAACAATCACCTTGTAAACTTTGAAGTTGAGATCAATGGACAAGCGGAATCCATTTATCAAATAGCCTTACACCGCTTTAGTTATGAAGCTGTTTCTTTTTACTGGCTGCTATATTACAAAAAAATGTATTTTAACCGTGCGCTTTTAACGTTTCCTGAGTACAGGTGTGATCTGAAAGTTTCTAATGTTTGCACAAGATGAACACGCATGTGAATACATATTAATCAGTCTATAACGATACTGCTAATATTTGTTTTTTGCATGTCTATGACACACTGTCACAACCAAATGCACGTCAAAATTGGTCGTAAAATTTGATAACAATGGACCACTAAAATCCTTTGAAAATATTTATTTGAATTCATACACCAATTTTGCATTAATCTGTTTGTTTTCACTATTACAGTTGTTTCATTACGATAAAAATGTTAGAAATCGTGTTGTATTACGCTTCCAAGTTTGATCCGTGGGCAATCAACAAAAGGTTCTGAATTTTTACAAGTTGACCAAGCCCAGGTGTTGCTGCATGTTATTGTTCTGATGCGATCACTATTCAAGCGCAGCAGGTTGATAATGTTTCTTCTCAAAGCTATTTAGATGTGGAACACCGTCACTCCATGATGTTGGTAATTTTTTTACAGATGAAAATGTGTGTATATTAATAAATAGGAATTGTACATAAGTAATCCGTGTGAATAATGACGTTGCCTTCTGATTAGTACCATATTATTAGTCTCGATATTTTGAATACTCCTCTTCCGTGATTAATTTTATTGGCAGTGATTCATGTAATTATTATATATAATCAATTTAACATTTTAATTGAAGTAAAAACTGATACCAAGAGGAAGATTCACTAACGAAGTTAGGTGGATGGAGGCTGGGTCGCCGAGATATCTTTATTATAGGGTCACCATGGCTTTATTATAGGGTCACCATATCAACAAGTTTGAATACCAGGGTTCTAATCTGTACAGTACAGTCGTCACTACCCAGATTTCTAAGTCGTTATGCTATTCATACTATTTTATCTTGTGCTTCCAATAAAAACCTCAATATTTAAAAAAGAATATTTGATAATTAACATTGCACCCGAGTCATGAAACAATATCAAGAACACACAAACTTTTGTTGTTTTAATTATATTTCATATCATAAATGAATTGTTTTTGCATTGCAAATTATTTTTATAAGCTAGTTATATTTCAACTGTATCGCATGGGACACCCATATTAAGGGGACACTTTTGTTGGTCCCAAAGGTGTCCCCTTAATAGGGATTATACTGTAGTAGTACTTGGAGTCAGACGTCAAGCCAGGCCCAGTTGCCTGCAAACATATCTTTTAACTCATATGTCAGGCTAGGCCCTATCTATCATTTAGGCCAAGTTATTTTTGATTTGCACTGCCACAAAATTTAGCAGTAGTAATGACGTCATCTTCTTGTTTTGATTAAAACAAATTATTTCACTTTCAGATGACTGACTTCACCACTTGTCAAATGACTACACAGCATAATAAATGGTCTTAATCTACGCACTTTACGTTATTTATTTATTTATTATTAAGTTATTTCGCTGTCGTTAACATTTATTTCTACATTGAATCATTTCACCCCTTCTTGACTTTATAGCAAATAATTTTACATCACAGTCGTTCATTTCACTTCATAGTTAATCATATAACTTTACATTTAATCGTTAAACTTTACAGTGGATCATTTCACTTCACATCCAACTGCTAAATTTTTGATTGAGTGGCATAACTTTTGATTGGTTAAAAAATGTATGTTCGAATTATGCATAAATGTTTTGAGTTTAGATTGAGCAGTTTAGGATAGATGATTTGACTTTTGTTTGGATGATTTGGTTTGTTATTACATGATTTGTATTTGTATTAAATGATTTGGATAACATACGTTTGGATTTTGAAATGAATGATTTGGCTTTGTATTTGATCAATTCATTTTTGAATAAATGGTTTGCTGTTTGATCAGTTGATTTTGTTTTTGATTGAATGGTTTGTATTTTCGTTGTTTGGGTTGGCTAACATATTTTTGGCGGATTTGGCTTTCCATAGGGAGCAGAGTTGGATTCGTTGTACAGTAGTTGTACGATGCAGTGAGTTTCCAGCTTTACACTATTTGGAAAGCAGGGATTGTCTGATGATGTACTGCCTAGATATACTTGTAGCACTTGTCAATTGTACAGAGTGCATGTGCATTGTACAGAGCATTTGTGGCAAAGACAATCCAAACCAGTTACTCGTTGCAAATCCTGTTTCAAAGATAATGACCAAAACATCCTGGGATGACAACATTTTTAAAATCTATTTTATTGCACTAAACTGACCTTTATATATCTATACATCATGCTGTGCTGTTATTTTCCTCATTTTCATGTTAAAACAACAATTTTTAGATTGGTCATGAACACAATTTTTAACGATTTGGTGATGGTTTCTGAATGAAAAAGCCCAAAATCATACACTTGAAAGGCTGATTTCTCAAATATTGTTCTTTAAACAGCTGGATGTTTAAACTCCTGTAACTTCATAACAAAATGTAGGATTTAAATGATTATTTTACCATTTTATAGCTCTCATTTTACTGTTTAACCCTGTATTAATAACTTAAAAGTCAATTTTTGCGACGAGTGACTGGTTTGGCTTGTCTTCATTTGTCATAGCCATAAAGCACTTGCCAATTGTACTTAGCACATGCCGTTAGCCATGTAGCACTTTTTAATTGAACAGAGCACTTGCCCATGACTATGTAGTAAGTCTTTTGAGTTTCACACCAAAGGAAACCAAATCATAACCATGTGTACCAAAATCCAGTACTTTGGTATGCAACTTGTAATACTACAGAGGAACTTAACTGGCCATTAAACCTTTATTCTTTTCAGACTTGCAGCACAAAGGGAACAGTATTTAAAGGATAAGATGAACCAAACCAACATGTATCAGAGAGCTCTATCTGCGCAGGTAAGTGTGCAAAGGATCAAAACCATTTAATTTAATGTAGATAAATATTAACACCATAACACTTGGTATTCTCTCTTTATTGCTATTTGAATTGAAGACTAACACTAACAGCTGGTGTCTGAGGAAGTCCCTTTATAAAGTATGGTACAAACAATCTAATTACAAATAAATAATAGAATTGTCTGTGTAAGAACTTTTAATAGCTTTGGATATCTTTAGTACATTAAAAAATATTAATCTAAAGTACTGCCAGTGATGTTAATGTATGCATTGTTGTTTCATTATTCTTATTTATTTGCACTTTTTGTCTAAGTTACTATTCATGATTTTTAAAAAATCTTCTGATCCTATTCTGTCTATCTGTGTACCTTGAACCTATTTTCATTGCAGAGGCATAGCCTATACGTGGATGGGGAGCCATGTATCAGTTGCTAATTATATACAATTGACATCACTTGCCAATTGTTCAGACACTTAGCCATGGCCATTTAGTACTTGTCAATTGTACAGAACACCTGCCCAGCACTTGTCAATTGTACAACTGCTAATGGTCATGTAGCATTTGCCAATTGTACTGAGCACTTGCCTATGGCCATGTAGCACTTGCCATTTGAACAGAGCACTTTCCCATGGCCATGTAGCACTTGCCATTTGAACAGCACTTGCCTATGGCCATGAAGAACATGCCATTTGAACAGAGCACTCGCCCATGGCCATGTAGCACTTGCCATTTGAACAGAGCACTTGCCCATGTTAATGTAGCACTTGCCATTTGAACAGCACTTGCCCATGGCCATGTAGCACTTGCCATTTGAACAGCACTTGCCTATGGCCATGTAGAACTTGCCATTTGTACAGAACACTTGCCCATGACCATGTAGCACTTTCCATTTGAACAGAGCACTTGCCCATGGCCATGTAGCAATTGTCAATTGTACAGAACACTTGCCCACAGCCATGTATTACCTGCCAGTTTTATTCAGCACTATGCCTTCTGTTTTCATTATTCCTATCATTTGTTTTGTTTGCTGTGTTGCACTTTTTCATTCTCATTTATATAGATTCGAATTAGGGACAACCTTTCTCATTGTCATAACAAGTTCATAGACAATGACTGTGAAGAGGCAGATAGTTGTATGAAGTTGCTAGGCCCTCTCTCACTCCCAGTTCCTAAAATCATTCTACCATTCTGCAAGAGTGAGCCTCTGAGATTAGAGATGCCTGATAAGAAAACGGTAGATACAGTAGGCTTAGAATGCAAAAAGTAAAGAGTTATTGCAAGATAGTAAAGTAGTATTTTTCTTGCTTCAGATTCCACAAGGAAGTTCTAATCAGTGGAAGAGTCATGATTTAGCACAAATTTCCTTTAAGTTTTTTCCACATTATTAAGTTTTAATGTGACAAATACCTGGAGTATTATATGTGGGTTTTATATGACAGCATGCCTATTCATAGGCAAATCACGCATATTTGTCACATAAAACCTCATAGTGTGGATAAATCTGTGTGTGTGGTACATTTTTGTATGTTAACATTATAAGTAATAAATCCATATGTAATTTTGTTATTAGGTATTCATAACAAATTAGTTTTTCTTATAAGTTTATAGTATTAATTTTATCATCTTTTTTTTAATAATCATTAACTTACAGATAATGAAAGTTGTCAATTATGATTGTTGTTGTTTTTCAAGTTTGTTTTGACACTGAGAGTACACTATTCTACATTAAAACAATTTCTCAACATTTTTTCTAGGTTCGATTCAAGCCACTGCCATTACCCGCAGCCGTTCCCGACTCTAAAGGACCGATATTCGGCAAAAACGATGCCACCAACGAGAAGCTTGCCGATCAGAGACGCCGTGCTATTGAAGTTTTCCGCGAACAACTTGCAGAAGTAGAAGCTGCGCGGCAGAATAAGGTGCTGAAGCATGTAAAGCAACAGAAAGAGGAAAGCGAAATCTTAGACCGAACAAGAAGGGAGTAAGTAAAATACAATAGCATACTTTTAATATTATTTTGCTATTCAACCTTGTTTGTCCCATAGTAGTTTTTTAATTCTGATTTTGAACTACAGAGATTCTATATACATTAGCAATAATAACTCTATGTTCCAATTAGCTCCTCCAAGGTACATCCTCAAGGAATACTCTGGCTGAAGTTTTTCCTATTATAGTTGGAATTAGTGTTGTTTACAAGATTAGATTATTCTATAACCAGAGGCCATGTATATAAGTTGTATAAACAGAAATTTAAACTTAATGTTAGGAAAAAGGCATTCGTTGTTTGAGTTACTGAAGATTGGAAATCCCTTCCTAGTAATGTGGTAAATCAGAGTTCAGTAAATCATTTTAAAGCGGGCTTAGAGAAAGTCTGGTCTGGCCACCACCTTAAATTTTGCCCGTATATGACCGAAGAGGATCCGATAATGATTGAGGGACAAATGAGCTTTGATCTCTAAGTCTTGAAGATTCAAGGTAAAATTCAAGGTAAAATTAAAGCCCATTCTATTAAATTCTTTTAGGCTTATAAATGATCGTGCAGCTAGACATGAGAAGGTATTTAAAATGCGCAAGTCATTGGAGGACAGTTGGCAGAAGGCAGCGGATTGTAAACACAAACAAGAAGATTTAGAGAAGCTACGCATGCAAAGTCCCGGAATTCTTGTTCATGAACAATGCAAGGGCTACCATCGCTGCGGTCAATGTTTGCGGCAACTCACTAACTGCGGTGAATCCAACATCTGGAGTGAATCACGCTACATACCTGGATCTCGTCTAATGGTGTAACATTGTATATGTGCATTGTAAGAATCCTAACATAAATATTTTGGATGTGGTTAGTAATGGATACATATTATGCTACTTGATAAATTATTGTCGGAAATTGAGAATAAAATTATAGTAGGTCATGACAAAGGGATCTAAAACCCTGATTGTTATTGTTCATCATCATGTTCCTTTATTGTGCTAAACCTTGTTTTTTAGTAGGGAGTTTTTGCTGCACGACGTTAACCTTAACGGATGACGTCATAATTTATTCATCTTGCGTTGCGGAGTACGTTATTTTCAGGATTTTACGTGCTCGACAGACGTTAGTTACGGGTTTGCGCATGCGTATTTCGATTTGTTTACAAAAGGGGCGGAGTTATCGCGTTGCATGTTGGGTACTAACATTAAAGTTAAGATTAACGTCGTGCACCGAAAACTACCTAGTATGCACTTGTGTCCTTTGGCAAAGTAATTACCTATGGTTTTTGTCACCACTCCATAGTACAGTATAAGTGGGTTCCTGGTAGGTCCAACACGTTGATTACCAGCTGCTGTATTATGAAGTTCTCTTCCAGGGAGCAAAGTTTTTGACCCCATTGAGAAGGAAGGGGGGTGGGGAAGATGGGAAGAAGAATAGCATCAGAATTTAACATCTAAGGCTCTTCGTCAATCAGCAGACAAACTGATTTTAAAGCCAAAGTCACTAACTTGGAAAAAATCTGTTATGATATAATCCATAATATGTGGCATACAATTTTGAAGTAGATAATGTTAAGTCATCTCTGGTAGTAGATAATGTTAAGTCATCTCTGGTTTCCTTGATGATTTCAAGGATTGAATTGAATTTTGTTTGATTATTTGTACTTTGTTTTAAAAATAATTCTGAGAACACCTTTTACTCTTAGAAATTCAGTACTTTGTGATGATTGTGCAAATGAGGTATATGAAATAATAGATAATATTTTAATAGATTTTAATAATACATACTGTCCTGTACCCAGGGAGCTC